TCGTATGTAAAATAATATCTATATTAATAAACTAGAGTAAAGTCTCACTTTAGCCGGAAAAAAAAAAAAAAAAAAAACGTAGAATACATTAATTATTGTTTGATATATGCTTTTGATAATTGCAAAAACCAACACAGTATTTGATGTTAGCAATGTAATAAGCTATTTCACCTCTTTGAACAAATCGAAACTCTATTACCCAATGAATATTCTCAAAAACTTACTGAATACAAAAAAAAACTCTGCTTCTTTTTTGCATATCAAGCTCGAAAAGCGTATCTAAATACCTAATTCCAGGCAGAGATGTTAAATTTAGATGAGAAAGGTGTATTAATTTTAGCTAATTATAAGATGAAGATATTAGAAAAGCGAGCGTGTGAAACTAAGAAACAATTTTTTGGAAAAAGAGAATGGATACTACATACCATTCTTGTATTTACCAAGAAAAATGACAAAAAGGTTAAGATTTAGGCATTTGACCATTGATTATTAAATACTAGAAAGATGTTTGGTTTACTGTTTCTTTTTTCAATACAGTCTTTGAAACTTTAAATCTGAAACCTAAATGGATCAAAGTCTTTTCGGACAACAGAGGATATTATTACAGCTCTGAAGTAATGGCAGTGGTTTCTAATTGATATCAATAGTATACCATTGAGGTCAAGGATTGATACTTTTTTGAAGCTGGTGAAGCTAAATCATTGGTTGATTCACATTATGCTGCAGTAAGTTGGTTACCTATTATATTTAAAAGAATTCAATTGACTAATAAATATATTTGATAGATCTTACACATGATAGTTAGATATATATGTATAGGTCATGATCTCAATAGTGGAGAAAAAATTCAAGAAGCAATTCAAGATCTTGGGAAACTCAAGTTATACATATTGAGCCTCTTTATAATCATGTGGTTGTTAAAACCATAAAGAATATTACAAGCTTTTCCTATTGGAAATGATCTATAAATAGTGAAAATATAGAGTTTATATTAGCATGTATCTTGCCCAATATTGAAGAATGAAAATTATTTTCTCCTACGGATGTTTTCAAATTGATGGAAAAAAAAATCAAAAAGCCAAATCCTAACATTTCTACTTATACAAAACCTTCAAAGGAATGGATTGTGTCAATTCCACAAGAATCTGGTATGCAAATAATTTGCTATTTATAATGATATAAATAAATTGAATAATTCCTATTAAAATTTACAGAAATACAACTTCATTTTATTGAAAACCAGAATAATAATGGTAAGTATAATTATTTGTTAGATAGATTATCAATTATTATCCTAATATAATTCATGTATAGTGACGGATAAATTAACTGGTGATGCCATTAATAATCTCTTTTTACTGAAACTTGGCTGGGCTTTAAAAAGTAATCAAACATTGGGTAGACAGGATATGAGAAAACGAATGTTGTTATGGGTATAAGAATACTTGGAAGGGTTTTTTTTGACTGGGAATGCAAATAAGACTGATCAGATGTTAACTACTCAAATGGTAAAAGAATTAGATAAGTTGGTTATTGAGAGCGAAATTGAATTAGATAACATACCTGATATTCCAACAGTAGAAAGATGGATTACTTAGTATGTACAAGTTTTAAGACATGAGGTGGCAGCCGAAAGACAAAACATAGTTGATAATAACAATAAGGAAAGATCAGATAACCTGGTTGACAATCCTGATCAAAGTGGCAACAGTAATCAAAATGTTCAAGAAAATAGATCTTCTTCCAGTATAGAAAAGAGGTAGAAAAAGTAAAGAAAAATGATAATACTGTTTTTACTTACAATAGTATCAGAACTATATAATTTATGATACCAAAGTTTTGTAAAGTAGATTAGTACTTTACGGCAAATCCATAAAGCAGGCCAAAATTTGAAAATTTGATTTTGACAATAATGTTTTGATACTCAAAATCAGCATTCCTGATATTTAAAGTCTTGGACAAAGAGTTTAAAGTGGATAGTGAGTAAATAAATAAATTGCTAGATCAATTTTACATTATTTTCCATTTTGATTGGGTGAGTTCATGTGACAGTCTAAAGAGTTGCACTTGTGCTGATTTTTCCAAGTTTGGGTAGATTATATATAGATCGTCGGCAATGTGATACTAATTGTTGATTTCCATTTACTTATATAGTATCAATTAAATCAGTTTTACTTAATATTAACAATATAAAAAGTCAAAAAAATAACTTTGTAAAAGCAAAAATAGACAAGGCATTAATTTACAAAATAAAGATACAAGACTCAATATAGTTTTTAGGAATATGAATTAGAAGCAAAGATTCAAAAAAAAATACAATTTATAGAATCCAATATGAAATTAACAAAATAACATTTGTATTCAAAATAAAAAAACAACTAATAAACAAATTCTTATATATTCAATAGAATCCTTATTTCCAGAATCAAATATAGAACTCAAAACTGTCATATTTTATAAAAGAAATATAAGAAGTTTATAAGACAATACAGAAAGATTTTCAAATATAAAGTTAAAATTTGTAATACTATTTTCAATAGCACTATTTATAACAGAAATATTTTTGACTTGAAAAGTATTTGAAATATTCAAACAAAATTTCAAATTATAAAACTTATCAACAAACTTAATAATAAAGAAATAGTTGACAAGTTTACTATAATTAGACTTAAACAAATACAATTCAAAAACTGGAAACTTGTTAATATTCTTTTTGAAAATATTTCAAATTTTTTTGACTATAAAGGTAACTTTTTAACTACAATCCTAATATTAGCTAATAAAATAGAACTCAGGTTTCAAAACAAATTACTAGAAGCCAATTTTCAATAATTTAAAGGCTTTTTTTACTATTAAAAATGAATAAAC